GGATATGAGCAAAGCTTATGATTCAGTCAATATTATCTTATTCAAACTATCTCTTCAACGTATCAATATGCTATCCAAACTTATCGATATAATTACCAACCTTTTATTAAGCCATCATAACAAGATTATTACTAATCTCAGACTTACCAATTCCTATACTATTAAAAATAGTATTGATCAAGGAGAAACTATTACTTTACTATTTAGAGAATTTATTATGATCCTTTTATTCATAAAATCTTATTACAATTTACAGGATATATATTATCCATCTCATGGTTAACTAGCCTACAACCACAAACTTGTGAACATCTCTAAACTTCAATTTCTGTATTGGCCTATATAGATGATACACTATGGATAGCTCAATCTAAAGAACAAATAACTCAAATTACTACAATGGCCTCATCCTTCTACCAAATAGCAAATATACAAATCAACCCAACAAAATCTATATTAACTACCAATTCTAAACCTTTCTTTATCTTTTTTATTAATTTAGCAATCCACCCTATTTTAGCTAAACAGCTTTTTAAATTTCTGGGATGTTGGTTTACTCTTAACAATAAACAATCAGAACAAATCAAACTCATTCAAAATGAAACTTTTCAACTAATCTACATTGCTAGCACAAAGAAAATTACAGATAAATAGATTGCATATGTCATTAATACTATTATTATCCTTACACTAGAATATAGAATCTACAACTTAGTACTTTCATGTACTATATGCAACAATATTCTATCTAAATATCTTACTATAGCTAAACACAAATTTTACCTTGCAAAATCAATTTCTAATAGTACTATGCTCAATCCATATCTATACAACATTCAAAATATCTGAGATATTCAATTACAATATCATATAATCAATTTTTTTCAACATATCAATAACCCCTATCTTCTAGAAACTACTACTCATATTAGATTACAGTAACTACAAAACAACTTGTAGTCAACTATTAATATATTTTAACACCCACAACCTATAATAGACAGTCCAAACAGACTTACACTTAATTTTAAAATTATTCAGCTTCTTATACACCTCAAAATATCAGTAATAGCAAATTCTAATATTATATGGCTTAATATAATCCAACACAATTTTTAACCAATAGAAAAGATACTTATATCAAACCCCAAATACTCTACCTTTAAGCACCAACTCAGAAAACTTAAGCTACTTTATCTTGAACAATTATGCACAGCTGACAATACTATACTCTTAGAATAGAAACATCTTTCTCCTAGACTTTTATACTTACCAAAAGGAAGAGAACCTTTATGGTTTCAAATACTTGTGAATATAGTTCTGGAAAACACATACCAGCATTATTTATATACACATTTTTAACAACAGGATATTAATATCTTTGACTATAATATCTACAACATGCCAAAAAGATCTAAACTATGGCTACTTTCCTTTAATGATAATGAAATTATCATTAGCAAAATTCATACACACTTTACAGACTTTAATAAAATTTCTATTACTCATTGGCAAACTAATATTAATACTGATAATACTGAATACTACCCACTCCCACCAATTAAATGCAATCTATGTCCTGGTTGTCACCTCAATTCTAACAGAATAGCTTCAGTCTGTACAATCAACATATTAGCTATTACATCAATACAATTCTTTAGAAGAGCTTCTTCTAACTCTTTTAAATTTAATACCAATTATATAGACTTTATTTTTCTACAGCTATAAAATATCCAATCCCCTCTTCTTTATCCTACATATTACTATCTATTCCTATTTCCCATTCTGCTATATCAAAAATTTTTACTCTAGTGTCGTGGTCGAATTTGGTGCTCCAGAATTCATAGCGCAAGAGTCAGGTATCGTGATCAGATCAGGTTTGCATAAGTGGCATGATTGAAATTTGCGTGATGCATGAAATCAATTAAAAGTCTAAAATAGTGATTGTATGAACAATGTAGTAATCAATAGCGATTAGTAATAAAATATAAGGCATCGATCCAAAAGAGAAAATGCCAGAGAGTTTTGCTTAGTGAATAAACTGATATCTGTGTGTATATATTATTAGTGAAAAAGCCTGTATGAAAATAGCCAAGCAAGTGAAGATAGATAGTAAAGTCAAGAAGTATATAGTAGCCCAAGTTACTTTATGACATAAGAACCTGAGCAGAAAACAATACTCTCGTTGAGCTGTGTGATCTGATTGTGGGATATTAAAGTGAAGTCTTCGTGAATACAGTGGATATTACGAGTAAACATAGTATTAAAGAATTAAAAGAAATGAAGGTTGAGTTTAAAGTGCAAAATTAGAAAATGATCATGTTGGTATAAGTGATGATCATCGGTGTGAAAAAATAAAAAATAAAAAATCAGAGAATATTATTAGCCTTTGAATAAATGAAAGTGTTGAATAAACCAAAGAAAAAGTGGTATATAAAATTGAAAAAAAATAGAAAGTGGAGAATGATTAACATCATTGGTTGAAAAGTTATTAGAATAGTAGCTGAAGTTATGAGAAGCTTGAAGGTGTTGCAAAGGAAACAGTATAGTCTTAGACCTCAGTTGTATTATGAATATAGAAAACCAGAACACTTGGCCTGTGATTGTCTGGTTTAGAAATTTGGTAAAGGAAGCTTAGAATTGTACGATATGAGATTTATAAGGTTTGTAGAGTTAGATGATAACAGTGCCAAGAGATGTGGGTGTACTAAAGAAAATAAATTAAGAAGAAAAAGGGTAATGAATGATAATAGGAATTGTTAAAATAAAGAGAGAGCAAAGATGAAGTATAAACCTAAAGCTTCTGGGGAATCAAGCTTAAATCATAGAGCGATAATGATTGATTATAATAAAATTAGTATTGAAAAGAACAAAAATAAGATGGCTAAGCAGTATTTAAACTCTGCTAAAAATAGAGATCTGAATAAGAAGAATAATTGACGGAGAAATGATTGGTTGCATGTGATTAACGGTAATTAGTAGGATTGGCATAGTAGTTAGTATTAAGGTTGGCAATGTGACGTAAGACAATAAGGTTATATAAGAGTCAATTGTCATATAATGGTCTATTGTTTGTAGTATCGATGATGTAAGCACACATGACAATTGAATAAATAAGAGATTCGATCTTGCAGTCGAATCTCAACTTCTATTGTTCTTAGTTAAAAACTAAAGCCTAACTTGTAACATAGTAGAACCTTGAGGGTTGTAAGGTCGAAGATATTAATAAGTGAAGAGGCAAAGGGGTTGATACTGGAACGTAGAAAGTATAGTCACGAGTGTATAATAAATTATGTGAAGTCATTTGGGCCAGAATTTAGAGATATACACTCTTTAATTATTCCCCATGATACAGAAGAACCTGGGCAAGTCACTATCTCTCGTAACCGATGTAATCAGTAGAGGTGTAACATACGAAAAGTTGTAATGAATAAATTGGTGAAGCCGTAATGAACAAATTGGAAAAATAATTTGGTTAATAATACGGAAAGAATAAATAAAGAGAAACATACCTACCAAGAACTATATCTAATACACGTAGCAACGATTTTGCAAGCCACAAAAGGGTGTACAAACGAAATCGGTAAATACATAGTTAACGACATTATAAGTGAAAATAAAAGAACAAAGATAGTGGTGTAAGAAAAAGGATGTTAGTAAGATCAAAAAAAATAGGGTCACAACAATGGGCAGTAAAGATACAATCGTACCTATATACTGTGGCGCTGAAGTTGATAATATAGAGGACTTCCTCTTTGATTACGAAGATTATGGTAAAGCTAAGAAATATGATGAAGACACCTTATGTTTAAATGTGCATATGCATATGCCTGAAGGTATGAAGACGTGGGTTCGTAACCTTATACAAACTAAAAAAACCTGAGATGATCTGAAAAAAACAATTGTCGATAAAATCAAGGCTGAAAACAAGACAGAAATAAAGATCAATCAATTGAAACGTCTTAAACAGAAAGACAAAGAATCAGTAAGAGAATACACCAACTGTTATGAAGCTTGTTCTGAAGCTGTGAAGAATCAAGTTAGAAATGATGAAAAGCGTGATTGGTATATTCGTGGTTTAAAACAGCCGTATCGAACGAAAGTAGAAAATTGTTGTCCCAAAAATTATGAAAAGGCCAAAAAGAAGGCGTTGGAGATGGAAAAATACAATAGAGACAAAGACTTTAATAACCAAAAAGATATGGTCGCATTCGATCAAACAATACAATCGAGTAAATCTGATGTGGATATTGACAGTATTGTGAATAGAATTGCAGCCTTGAGCATTAACCGTGTTGAAAGAGAGGAAAGATTGAGTCGTAGTGAAATCGAAACAATGATTCGTGATGCAATAACAAAAAATACAAAAGATCTGAACA